TTCTTCGTGGTCTTCCCTTCGCTTTTGCTCTACTACTATAACTGTCACATGTTGTTTTTGCTATGCAGTTGGTGGCAACTTTACAAGATGTTCAATTCACTTCATTTGTTATCTATACAGATTTTGTATTGAACATATTCCTTACATTCTCGTTCCTCACTCTCTCTAGTCTTGTTTTTCTAACAGATTTTCGTATGTAGCTCACATCGATAGTGGTTAATTCTTCTCAATTTTCTTTGTTTATATTTGGCGTGTTTAACATGTGAGTGTTGGTATACATATTGGTATCAGGGTGTTCTTAGTTTTTAGTGGTATGTGTTTGTGGGTTAGCAAAGGCGATGATTAATATAAATTCTTGCTTGCCTCGCAAAATCTAGCTTATTTCTATATCAACCTTTCCATCTGATGACACGACTGATCTAATATATTTAAATACAGTAGTGGTTTTGAGTGGCATTTTTCTTTCTTTCTCGTGACAAGTACTTCTGTATATTTCTCGGATCTCCATCTCATAATCTAGAAAGCATTTGTTCGGAATGTAAAATTACAATTGATGATAATACGCAATCTTGCCGAAACCGGATGTTACAGGTAACCACTATGTTAATTCTTCATGTGTTCTAACTTAGTCCAGGCTCTTAATGTAGAGGGTCTTGGTTGTAGTGATGATTTGTTCTGATACGCGTACTCTTTCAAGACTTTTTATTATCTTTCTATTTTCACTCCGTCGAAGATTTTCTCTTGGCCTTAGTCTGTCTGATTATGCTCCCCTTTGTTTCTCTGAGAAATGAGTAACCCACCAAAGGTTTGTTTGGCCCGTCGGATTTCATCCAGATCCCGTTAGTCATTACTTTCAAGGGCCCATGGTTACCATGGCGGCCCGGAGAAATAACCCAACCACAATATTTCGCTCTACTCAGCAATTCCATTACTTAGTCTGCTTTCACCTATTATGACGTTGACGTGGGGATTTACTGTCAATTACATCTGGTCGAAACAAATCTATAGGGAAATAATTGGCAGTATTTATAATTACGATTGGAAGAAACAGCAAAATGAACATGAAAATAGGGCCATTATTTACACAGATTTTTTTTTAAGTTACTTAATTTTATATTAAATCTTTAGAGGGTTTGCCCTTTTATAGAACTCGGGTTTTTTTATAGCACATATTTATATGGTTGACCGCTTTATGCTGACTTTATACTTACTTTTGAGTAAGGAAATACATTATGCTTAAAGTCTGCTCTCTCAATAAATATAAAGTTAAGATGCTTGACTGAATGGATATCAACTGCTTGAGCGTTAACGTCTTCTACCAGAATGGGATGTGAGGTGAAGGTGTAAAAATGTTTACTTTTCAAGTGCTCGCGACTCCGCGTTGGTTGAAATACTATAGAGGGAGCTAGCTACAAGTAAAATAAAATGTGAAACATATTCTAATTTATTTTCAAATATCTCATTTGGAGATGCGGTTTTAGTGCACAATAGATCAAGAGGGTTGCCAGAGTTTTACTATACACTTATTAGATAATTGTGCTGACTTTTCCTCATTCAAACAAGAGCATAATGCGGCACCAAGGAAAGTCCACGATAACTAAATACAATTATACGTTACCTCTATGCAAGTTGCGTTCTTTATTATGAATATTAAATCAAGGTTTATCAGTTTGTTTGGCGTAATCGTGGAAACTTTATTTTCTATTCACTTCACATCCACAACTAATTTTGATTTCAGTACTGCCCAATGTAAACTTGGAGCACAGGAAAACAGGGTACTTATAATACCACAGAACTTAGTAGGTTTTAAAGTAAACTGTTAAGTGCCTTAAAATTACAGATATGAACCTCCAAACAGCTAGAGATTTTGATGAACTTTGTATTTAATGATGTAATTTTTTTTCTAACAGTTAAATAAAACATGTCGCGTTTTCTATTTTCTCAGATTAAAT